GCAGTTGCAGACTTCCTCCTAGCTGCACACAAGGAGCGGGCTCGCTGGCTTGCACTCAATCCATCTCTCCCACCCAGTCAGTTTGATGGTGAGTATGACTTCATATATGAGTTGCATGAGATGGAGCAGTGGGTGCTTGACGCTGACTTGTCAGACTAGCACCCACTGCTCCATGGGAAGGGCAGATAGGCCTTGTGCATGCATTCTGCATGTGCCTGTTGCCTGTTTGGTGTGTGCTGTGGACAGAGAAGATGCCTGGTTGCGCCGGAAGGTAGCGCCGGGCTTAGGGACAGGTGTCTCGTCAAACCCTTAACCAACCAATCCCGTTAGCTCATTGGATCCATCCAGGCTGCTATCCATCCATCCATCAGCAAGGATCCATCCATCCATCAGCAAGGAGCCGCCGCCACGTGTACAGCCGCGCAGCAGCAACCTGGGTGGCGGCTCAGCTCGGGCGCGAGAGGGGCGACCAGTCAGGAGCTCTTGTCGTTGGAGCTCTTGTCTGTTGGTGCCTCCACACTTCCTCTCATCACCATCACCGGTGAGACCACGAGACGAGCTCTCGGCCCATTCACTCACTGAGCCGGTGCGGTGCGCTAAGCCTTCCCATCAGCGAGACCACCTGAGGGAGGCAGGCAGACAGGCAGACAAACGACAGGCAACACATTCCCTTCCCTCCCTGCGTGGCCGTGCGGTGTGTGTGCTGTCAGATCCGACGGTGACGGTCTGAGTGAGAGGTTCTGGACGTGTGTGTGCGGTGGGCAGCACTGACGGCATCAGTCGGGCTGCTTGATGGCTGACGCCAAAACTCACACACTGAGCAGTGAGTCGGCAGACTGAGAGCGGCACACTGATGACTGCATCCCATCTCGCTGTGTGGCTGCTTCCTTGGTACAGGTGGTTGACCGTGTTCGTCAGATGGACAGTAGCCACGACGCCCCGGCTCCCTCCAGAGGTGGGCGATGACCCACACAATGGACACACACGGCTGTCATGTGTGTGTGTGTGTGTGTGTGGTGATGGTGTGTGTGGTGATGGTGTGTGGTGCAGGTGGGCGGGGCGACTTGTCGGACGATAGCTTGCGAGATGTCATAGATCAGATCCAATCGGTGAGGGAGGGAGGGAGGGAGGGAGGGAGGCGCTAGACCGACCATTCATTCACTGTGCTGCCTGTCTGTCTGTCTGTCTGTCTGTCCACTCCTCTGTGTGTCGATGTGTGTTTATGTCAGCGAATGGATGTCGACGGCGAGGCGGCCGTGGGACCGAAGGAGACCGACAGCAACAAACAGCATAGCGAAGCGGTACGCTCTCAAGCCTACACCCACACAGACACACAGACAGACAAACTCATTGATGTGTGTCGCTGGTCAGGCGCCTGCTGATGACGGCGGCGCCAAGAAGAGTAGACGCGTAGACATCAGCCCTGCTGGTGGTGGACACAGTGGAGGTACGCAAAGCATCGGCTGCCGTTGGTGGACTGCATATCGTCATGACCCTCCTGTGCTGTGTGGTGCCTTCAGGTGGCTCGGTTGGTGCGGGTGGTGCTGCGGCAGCGACACAGCAGCAACAGGGAGGTGCCACCAAGATCAGCAGCAGGAGCAGCGACCTGGACTCGCCCGTCATCAACAACGAGGCGGTCCGCTGCATCTTCGGCGGCTCGCGAGTTCGGCTGCTCAAGGTCAAGGACGTCGGCAGCCTCAGAATGGCGGCTCGCCACCACAGCCTCGTCGACTACCCTCTCACCGCCCTCCGCACCCGCCTCACCCACTCGCTGCACCACAAACTGCTCGCCGACGGCACACGGCTCGACACCGTGCTGGTCTTCGACGCCCAGACCGTGTCTGAGCCAGGTGTGGTGCTGGCGGCCATGTGGCTGGTGGAGGAGCAGACGTGGGACGAGGTGGCTGAGGTGCTGCGGTGGGCGGAGCAGTGCGGCAGGTGCAAGCTGCCTGTCAAGGTCACTGCTGCCAACATCAACAAACATGCCGACAAGACGGTGGGACTCACAGGGCGGGAGGGAGGGGAAGAAATCGCCTTATTCGCTCATCCATGTGTGTGTGTGTGTGTGTGTGTTGTCGTGTGTGCAGGCGTATGTGTCGCTTCCCCGTGTGTTGGCGCAGCTGATGGTGGTGGGCCGCCGTGTGCGGTTCAAGGACGGCGAAGGGCAAGGCAGCCGGCTGAAGCTGTTCCGCCATGGCCATGAGGTGCGGGCCTTCTATGACAAGGCCATCGAGGACGAGGCCGACTACCGGCTGCTCATAGATGCCCCCGTGATCGAGGACGAGGCCATCGAGGACGAGGAGGTCATCGAGGACGAGGAGGACCTCGATGACGGGCCCCTCCCTGCCGGCCACCTGTATGAGCAGCACCGACTAGAGCATGACCCACCAGTGCGCAGCCGCAACTACTGGGACGAATTCGACGGCGGATTTGGGGGTGGGGGGTTCGGCAACCGCACCGACGATGCGTCGGCGTCGTCGTGGGCCAAGCGTTTGGTCCTCAACCACTTCGAGTGGAAACACCACTGGCGCACCTATTGCGCATCGATAGACCTCAACAGGTAACCCACCGATGGCACCAGTGGGTGAGAGGGGTGCGTCTTTGATTGTGTTTGTGTGTGGTGTGGTTGGTTCAGGCGTGTTGGTGGCGGCCGTCTGGATTCCCTCCTCACCCAGTCGCCCCACACACCAGTGGCCGGCTGCACCACCACATTCAGCAGTGACGGTTGTGTGCGATACCTGGTGCTGACCGACAGCAGCCACGACTTCGTCGCGTGGCTTGGGATTGAGGATTTGGAGGACGGCACCGGTCAGGGCGACAGACAGGCGGCTCTGATCGTAAACTGCCACATGTGTCGTTTCTGTGTGTCATTGTCTGTCTGCAGTGGAGGTTCTTGTCAAGACGACCGAGGCTGCCGTGTCTAAGGTCCCCGGGGCTGTGGGGTCGAGGGAGATGAGTGGTGGTGCCTTCAAGGACTGCTTCCCCGTGACCACTCGGCTGGCCCGTGTGGCGCTGGGACGAGTGGCGCCATACATCTTCGACGGACAAGTAGACGATGACAGTGGCGATAATGACGGTGCGGACAGGGGAGGGAGGGACACACACACACATGGTGGCCATGGATAGATGGATGGATGGACGGATGGCATTTCTTCTCTGTCTGTCTTTGTGTGTGGTGTAGATTCCGACGGCCATGGCGGTGACTGGGATGATCTGGATGATGACAGCGACGGAGAGCACAGCGGAGGTACACACGAGGGAGGGACACACACAGCGGACGACAGATAGACTCACACCGACCCGCGTCACATCCAGGTTTGTGTGGGTGTGTGTCTTCATGACAGGTGACAATGCATCTGAAGCCGAGGAGGAGAATGGCGACTGATCAACCCAACTCAAATACCGGACCACACAGGTACCCACACACCACAGTGTGTTCGAATCTTCTGTCTGTATGGGTGTCACCTGTTTGTGTGTTTGTCTTGGCAGAGTGTTTGCAGTGCCGTCTGTGGCTGCTGTATGCCCGAATCGACTTATGGCTGTCTGTGGTAGAGAGAGATCGTATACCTCCCACTCTGTAGAGAGACCAGCTGCTGACATTACCCAATGGCTCTGGGTGGGCGACCTGCCTGCGTTGTGCCATGCATTCTCTCTGCACCTCCCTCCCTCTCTCCCTCCCTCTCTGTTGATATGCGCCTGTCTGGGTGGCTGGCTGCCTGGCTGTGGGGGTGGGGCTGGTGTGTTGCCCTCCACTGCTGGGGGTGACGTGATGGCTCGGCCGCAGTGTGTGAGTGTGTGTGCGGGTGTGTGAGACCTGTTCGCCTGACTACCTGGGTGCCCCTCTCCAGGTCTCTCCCACACCACCCGATGGCTAGATGGATGCCTGGATAAATGGTCTGCCTCTTCCTCTCCTCTCTGTCAATCGTTTCCTTACACCTCTCTGCCGGTCTGTCTGCCTGTCTGGCTCGCTCGTCCCTGTCTGTCTGTCTGTCTGTCTGTCTGTCGACTCCGCCCCTCCCCTCTCCCATTGCCCCACTCATGTGTGTGGGTCGGAGAGAGAGGACAGAGGACAGACAGTACCAGAGGGAGATGGGCGGACAGAAGGCAAGGCAAGGCACACATACGGTGGCCTGATTGAAGTGTGAGGGCGGTAGCTGCCGAGGCGCTCGGCGAGCCCAAACACAGACAGACAGACAGACAGACGATCCTGAGTGAGAGAGACGGTGTGCATATCAGCTGGGGGATGTGTGTGTTCGTATGTCTTAATGCCTGGCTGTTGCAATGAGTGAATAGCATTAGCTAAGCTGATCGCGTCCATCCGGAGCGCGGCACACACACGGGGTCTGTATACATTACACATAAGGGTCTCCATCTGTCTGTCTGTCTGTCTGTCCCTCGACGCCGCTCGGTGGCGGGCGGACAGGGAGCAGCAGAACGTCAATCCATTCGCAGGCACGGTCTACACACACACACACACACACACACACACATCTGTCTGTCTGTCTGTCTGTCTGCCCCTCTCTCTGCCAGCTGACTCCATTCGTGTGGTGGGTGCTAGCTGCGTGAGTGCGTGAGTGCGTGTGTGCGTGTGTACGTGTGTTGATGACTAGACAGCTAGCTGTACAGAAATGACGGACGGGGGCTGACGTGTTTCGGCATGGAAATGAAGGCGTCACACATACCGCACTGTGAGCCAGCCGGCTGCGTTGATGTTGGCAATGCGCTTTCCGCCGCCGTAATGAGCTTATTAGATCAGAGTGTCCTTTGCACATGGTGTGTCTATGTGGTGTGTCCATCCATCCATCCATCCAGCCATCCAAACAGCCACACAGTCAGCCAAGCAGCCAGTCCAAACACACACACACGCACACATCAGCCAGCCCCCCACCCACGCAACCAGCCAAGCCGGGCCGGCAGGTCGTGCCCATCCACCCTCCGTTCCATTACCGATCGATCCGCTCCATGGGTCAGAAACCCACCGCATTAGATGGCCGAATAAACCCATGGGATGAACGGGATGGAACAGAGGTAGCCAGACAGACAGACACCAGGCTCGGCGAGCTTGTCACGCAGGCAGGCAGGCAGGCATACAGGCAGGCCGACAGGCACTCATGGATGGTCTTACTTATTGCCCGCTCCGCCAGGGAGGTGGGTATTTCTCCTAGACCTAGACATCACGACCAAAGAGCCATGTGCTAGCCAGACAGAGGGATAGAGAGATCGAGCTTCATGTGCGTGGGTGTCTGCCTGTGAGTGACCCGCCCGCAGTGAGAGACAGAGAGAGAGAGGGGTGAGAGGCGGGGGCGACCGACAGCTAGCTTGGCTCGTCACGTGTGTCAATCGGAGCCAGGCTGAGCATCGACCTGTCCCTCCCTCCCCCAGACAGACAGGCTACATGGATTAGATCAGTCATTGTGTTGTCTACGTGTACGCATTAGCCACCCCATCCCCAGCCTTGAAAAGTGCCTTGTCCTCCAATCCACCTTGTGTTTGCTGCACTGCATCTGTGTGTGTGTGTATGTCTCGGTAGGTAGGTACGAAAAACCCGCCTTCACACGCCTTCCCCCCCGGCCCCCAGCCCGGCCACCGTCCGTCAGCAGTCGTATGCACACACTAGACAAGACAGACAACCAGGAGCCAGCCAGCCAGCCAGCCAGGCAAAAATACGAATCTTATACACAGGTACGGTTACGCACTCGGTCTCCCACACGGTCTGCTAGGCACCCACACTCCCTCCCCTCACACACATGTGGTACGAACAGACGACAAATGCACGGGGCAATCAATGGGCGGTCGGCCTGTCTGCCTGCCTGTCTGAGTGTGTGGTGTCTGGTGTACCTTGCCTTGCCCCCAACCCACCTCCACCTCCACGCATTCACACTCGCACCCTTACCCACACTCGCCCGGCCAGCCACCCAGCCGCTTAGGTCAGTGAGAGGAAGCAGAGGAGAGAGCCAGGACTTCACTGTGTACACGGAAGGGCATGGTTTAGATACACAGACAGACAGACAGGTAGACAGACAGGCAGACAGGCGGACCACAGCAAGGAAGGCAAGGCAGGAAGGCAGACGGGGAGACGGGTAGAATGGACAATGGACTGGATAGAATCTCTGTTCTGGATGCATTGGAGGCGCGTTTTGTGCCGATCTCGCTACTGCATTGCTGGCAAGGGGCAGGCAGGCAGAGAGGCAGAGAGGCAGGTAGGTGCTCAGCCGACAGACCAAGGGAAGAGACTAGACAAACGGAGGGATGTGGATCGACGTGGTGTGCGTTGGTGCGAAAACAAAACAACGGTCAGGCTGAACACAATCTGACGGCCAGCCACTCTGGAGGCCCGGCCAGCCAGGTAGGTCAAAACGCACCAAGCACCACCACATCTCATCTATCGGCCGAATTCTCTCTCGCTCGTTTGCTAACCGCCCAGAAGACAAAGCAACACAAAGCCACCCCCCCGCTGCATTTGGCAATCGTCCGTCCATGAGTATCGTATCTCTTTCTGTCTTGCAGTCACGCCATGCCATGCCATGCATGCTGTCGCATCTGTCTACTACCGACACACCGGGAGAGTGAGGCGAGAGGTGGACAGACAGACACACAGACACACAGACGGTACGGTGCGGTGCCAGACCGACGACAGACAGACCACAATTGCCACGTTTACACACGCACGAGATGACATGATATACATTACACACACAGACACACAACCAACCCACTCACCCCGACCGCCCAGACCGATCTATCGGATACAACAAGGAAAAAAGAGGCGCCGAGCCCACGCCTATATCCATCTATGCTAGCCACCCATCCCATTCAGCCACCCATTCCATTCGCCCGACGCACCTCACCCACCACCCAAAGCAGTATCTCACATCACATCACCACCACCCGCAGGAAGCAATACAGCACGCCACGCCCACGAGCCATCCCTCACCCCCTGCACACCCACCCCAACCCCCGTTGATTGATTCACATCTGCTGGCCTTGCGTGGTCGAGGAGGGGGGCGCGCCGGGTGCGACGAATCCCTCCATCTTGATGGGCGGCATGTGGGGCATCCGTGAGGGGTACCCCATGGCCGCACCGCCAGCACCGAAGGGCGGCGGCCAGGCCGGCACCGGGGCGTACCCTGCAGCTGCTGCTGCCGCAAACGCATGAGCCGGCGAGTGGATGCCTGTTGCAAACATACACACACATACAGAGCCAAGAGAGATGAGAAACGGCGCCGTCAGCTCTCTCTCTGTGTGTGTATGAGTGGATGAATGTGTCACCCACCCTACCAGGTGGTGGAGCGGTCTGGTAGAGAGTCTGGAATGGCATGGGTGGAGGAGCGCCGCTGTGGAAGTGTGGAGGGTAGAATGGTGGGGGCGGGTGGTGGAACACCGCCGGTGGCTGGGGCTGACCCGGCCCTGGCATCGGCATCACACTGGGGTCTGAACCAACACACACACATACATACACACACACGCACAGAGCAGGGCAGCCGTGGATAGGATGTGTGTCGGCTGGTGTGGTGTGTGTGCATCTTGTTACCCTGCTGGACGTTGTCCGGCATCTCCTGCTTGACGGTGATGGTGTCGCTGCCGGCATGCATGCCGCCCATCATATCACCCACCTGAACCAAGTGACCACACACAAACCACACACACACGTGCAGTGCACTAGCGCCCCGACCGACACCTCTTTGTCCGTGGCTAGATACATGTACCTGCGTAGCATCCGAGCTGGCCCCGTTGCCCTCCCGTCGGCTCCCCGGCGACCCTCCGGCAGTACCAGCACCAGCAGCGGGCCCAGCAGGTGCTGCCGCTATGCCGCCACTCGGTGACTCCTGGCTGCCCCACCGCTTCTTGTAGGCCTCCAACGCACGCTCGAAGATGTGCTCGGGCACATGCTTGGCACGCAACGCCTCACGCAAGGCCGCCTGGACGCCCTCCTTGGTCAGGGTGGGCGGCTTGATGAGAGGGTGGGTGGGCCGGTCGCTTGGCTGTGCACCGAGTAGCGCCGCGGCGCTGTGCGGCTTGTGGTGTCCGTCGACGACGAAGGAGAGCTCCTTGACGTCCCAGTCCACCCCCAGGGGCACGTGTGGAGTGGGGGGGAGAGCTGCAGCGTCGGCAGTGGGCGCCATCTGTGCCTTGAGATGCCGCTTCCACTCGCCACGGACCTCCTCGAGCAAACGCAAAGCTGACAACGTCAGCGAATCTGCACGTATGTTGTGTTGTGTTCAGAGTCGAAGAAAGACACAGAGAGATATCTATGTGTTTCTAGTCCTGTGTATGGGTGTGTGTGTGTGTGGTCTGTACCGTCTTCAGTTTTCATTGTGGATCCGTCTGCTGACTCGCCGTCGGCACTGGTGCCACTGGAGGGGTCCAGACACACCTTCAGCAGCGGGATGTGCTTGATGCTCGCACCCTTGCCCAAATCCTGATTCATGAATGTTCATCCATCACACACAGAGAAAGAAGATTGTTCTCCGTCTGTGTGTGTGTGTGTGTGTGGTTGTGTGTAGGCACCTGAGTGTCAGAGCTGAGTTGTTCGACCACGGCAGGGTTGAGTCTCGAAGACGACTGCACGCTCTCGGCCAGCCGATTGCGCTCGTCGATGGACTCACGCAAAGCCTTGCGCAGCGAACGAACTGACACAATCAGATCATGCCACACACACATTTGGACGAACCACACACGTGCAGGCCAGACCCCCGTTTCCTTTCTGTTCTCCTACTGGTGATGGGTTTCTTGGGTGGGTAGGTGTTGCCCACTGCCTCCTTGTCGTCGACCTTGAAGGCCGTGACGAACCCCTCGTCGGGTCGCCAGAAGATGCCAAGGTTTGAGCGTGCGTTGGGCCGCTCCAGCCGCAGCGCGATGCGCATCTGCAGGAGGAAGCCCTGGGCCACCGTCGTGTGCTCACCCTTGGCCTCCTTCAACTCCTCCTCCTCTGAGAGAGAGAAACACACGTTCGGTGTGTATGTATGCGGTGTGGTTTGGTTTGATGTGGCGTCTATAGTCTCGTCTTGTGTAGTCATCTTCTTATCTACTTTACCGGGCTCCTTTGCCTTCTCTGCCTTGGCAGCGGCGCGTTTCTTGGCCGCACTGGGGACAATGATCGCTGATGACAGAGAGAGAGAGAAACAAAACAGAGGCAGCACACAGCACAGTTAACGTTTGTTTGAGCTGTGCATTGTCTGCTGTGCGATGCTGTGTGCAGGTAGGTACCCTACCAGGTGTGTCTTTGTCTTTGTCTTTGGCTTTGGGTTTGGCTCTCATGCGGTTCCTCTGCTGCATCTTGAAGGGGTCGGGAGGAACACCGTACCTGAGCAAAGAACGAAACGACCCACCCCACACATACACAACACACGTGATGTGCCTCCGCTTCATCTGTGGCTGCTGCCTCTGTTGGGCGTAAGTCAGTACTTTTCGCAGATTTCGAATGAGATGCAGTGGTCAATGCCGACGTTGCGGGCCAGCTCGTTCCGGCAGTCAACAGCGACCTTAGTTAGCCCACACACACACACAAATCCGTGTGCACACCGCCCGTGTATGTGGATGCGTGTGGCAAAGCAATGTGCACCTGCTTACCTCGAGAGCTTCGAGCAGTGCCTTTGGCGAGGGAGGGCGGACGTAGAGCGTCTTGCCCCAGTAGTGCTTGCCGCTACGGAAAAACACCGTCTGCAATGCAAACCACCAGACCAATGGACACCACACCACACGCACACGCACTCAGTCCACATCACTCACATTCCTCCCTGCCTCCCTGTGTGTGTGTGTACCTTGTATGCCGATTCGTTCCTGGACCAGTAGATGCCCAGTCCGGGTATGGCCCCGCCGCCCACCCCGGTGGACCGCTGCGGGAGGCTCTTCTTGGGCATGTCGTTGGTGTAACGCAGCTGGTCCAGCAACACGTTGGCGTGACGAATCGTCTCTGATCATAGACAGACAGGCAGACAGACAGACAGACAGGTTGTTCTCGCGTATCCCGTTCACCTCCCTCCCTCTCTCTGTCTGTCAGTGTCTCTGTGTGTACCAGTGAGTGTGAGTTCGTAGTCTTGGCTCCAGTACGCCCGGTCGTGGGACGGCGCTGGCACAGGGGCGTTGGACGAACGACCTGCACACACACAGATCGACAAACCAATGCATCCCTCCCTGACCCTACTTGATGCAGGCAACTCACTGGCGGCAGCAGCAGTAGCGGAAGCAGAGGCGTGGCTGTTGTAGTCCCGGCCGGCCATGACGGGCACGTGCACGCTGGTCGTCCCAGCACCGTACTTGCCACGGCTGCCTGTCGCCGGCGTGTGCCTGCCATGCCAACCAAACACACAACCACACACACCGGTTTCCTTACTCCTGCCGTCTGTCTGTGTGTGTCTCTGTGTGTCTGTGTGTGAGGGATAAGGTTACTTTTTGACTCTGCCGCGCCTTCCGCCCTCCTCCTCCTCTTTGACCGCGACGGGCTCGGCCAGCAGGTCGTCGAGCACCCCGTTGTGGAAGATGTCCAGCAGACCGGCCGGCGCACCCGCCGCACGCAACGCATCGATCAAAGCCTCCTGAACACACACACACACACACACAGAGTGATTTGAGCACATTGATGGTGGTCAGACGGGTGGTCAGGCCACCGACCCACCCACGAACGCACCTCTAGGCTGCTTTTGTCTCCGTCGTCGTTGGGTGTGAACAGCAACGCCTCGTTCTCAGGATCATCAACAGGGCCCACAAGGTAACCCTGCACACAACACAACACAACACACGACAACACCATACATACAGCACCAATGACCACGTCAGGTCTGACCCCTGACAGACACCCACGTATGTATCCTTGCCTGTGAGGTGGGGTCCCAGTGGATGCGCAGCGGGTCGTGTGGGTGGAAGTTCTCCTGGTAGTGGGCCATGACGGCGTTGAGCATGACGGTGGCATGTCGCGTGGTGGACCGCGGCATCCGCGAGCTGGTGCGCGTCTTGGCTGCGGCCTTCTGGCTGGGCTGCATGAGTGCTGGCATGGCAGGGGATGGCGGGTTGCTGGTGCCGGACACGTCTGAGATGCCCATGCTGGCATTCATCTCGCGCAGAAGAAACTGCTCGCGAGTCACCTCCACCGCACCCGACAACTGCAGTGGCGTAGAACACACATGGCATGGTGACATCCGTGAGTAGATATCTGTGTGAGTTGAGGGTGTTCACGAGTGTGTGTGGATCGCACCTGGTCGACACAATCCGGGTGGATGAACGACTTGTTGGGCAGACCCTGGGCCAAAATGTTGCGCTCGAGGATGGCATTCCTGCAGACAGACACACAGACACACAGACACACAGACAGCCACCCAATCAGTCACACACGCGCCACGTTATCCACTCATTTTGTGTGAGACTGACTTGAGTGCGATCCGTATGTTGATCTCGCTGAGGTCGGGGGGCGACTGGGGGTCGGACGTGGTCAGCTTGTCGCCCATACGGAAGGCAGTGGAGAAGCCCTTGACGCCTCGCTGCCAATACAGTCCAAACTGACCTGTCGTGTGAAGGACGCATACAAGCAGAGAGGGAACACACACATGGGCATGAGGTGCTGAGTGTGACACACTCTGCCTGTGTGGTTAGTGGGTGCGGTCAGGCCGACCTTTTTTGCTCTCCCCTGTCGCCCGCAGCCACCGTCTGAGCTGAATGAGCAGACTCTCCGCCAACAAGTCGCCCTCATCTATTGAAGCTGACACACACACACACACACACACATATATATCCATCTATCCTCCCCGTTGTGTGTGTCTTGTTCCCCCTCCCTCCCCCCTGCCCGCCCCAGCAACTCACCGAGGCCATCCCGTTGCTGCTGCGTCATGACCTGGAGCGTCATGGCCTTGGTCTTCTTTTTCTTGGCCAATGATGCGGCCAGCGACCCGCCCTGGCCCCCACTGCCAGTGGTGTCCCTGAGGTGCTTGGGCCTGGGGCGCTTGCGGCCCGCGGTCTCTTCGTCGCCATGCCACTCCTCGTCAGTCAACTCTTCCTCCTACACATACACGTGACACATCAATGGCTCAGTGCGAGTGGCGAGTGGCGAGCGGGCAGACGGGCGGGGGGGTGTGGGTACCTTACCTTTGTGGTTTTGATGGTGGTCTTGGCCACGGGTGCGGCTGCGTGCTTCTGAGCCATCATGCGCATGAAGGTGGCCTCCACCGCCTTGGCAGCCTCGGGGTTCACACGACTCTCGTACTGCACAGACAGACAGATGGGAGGGTGAAAAGAGAGAGAGAGGGAGTCACACACGGGCTTGTGTAGTGCCGTTGGTGTGGTGAAGTGGCGCCTGGCTCACCTTGAGCTCAGCCGCCAGCATGTTGCGCTCGACGATGGCGCGGCTGAGCGCGTCAATCAGACCTGCACACAGAATTCACACGCGCAGACACACACGCACACACATGTGTCACCATTGCGAATGAATGAGTGTGTGTGAGCAATTACCGGCAACGCTGAGATCGTGCGGTTTGATGGGGTGTTTGTAGTGCATCTCCCGCTGGACGGTGAGGAACTGCGGGACGAAGGCCAGGTGCTGCGGGTACCACGCTATGCCCACCGGCTCCAACTTCTTGCCCACCACACCACCAACAACCTGCCCACACACACACAGCCGCCAGGGACACTTGTGTGGTGGGGGAGAGGGGGGAAGGTGTGTTGTGTTGTATGGCATACGGTGGGTGTGAGAGCGTCTTGTGCGGCCTTGATGCGTCTGAGTATGGTGAGGAGTGTGTGGGCCACACGGTGGGCGTCCTGGCCCGTCAACTCCTGATTCACATCCTCGATGACCAACTTCTGATACACGACACAGATGAACACACAACGTGTGGAAGCAGTAGATGAATGGATGGTGGGTGCCTTGCGGTGCGATGGTGTTCAAGCCCTTACCGGCAATGGGGATTTGTCGCCCGCGGCCGGCCGGCTGCTGGCCATGCTGAACGAGTCGCCAACCAGGTCACCTAAGCACACACACACACAAACACACGAGGAGGGGAGGCATTGAGGTGTGTGTGTGTGAGCGTGTGTGTGTGTGTGTGTGTTGCGTACCGGCTCCCGTCTGCTGCGTCATGCCGAGTGTCATGGGTTCCAGCATCGCATCGATGTCATTGACGTGCAGAAACGTACACACACCCAACCTGACAGACACACCACACATGACACACACACACACACAGGTCAACATTGATGTAGTGTGGGGTGGGGTCGGTCGCTTACTCGTCGGCGAGGTTGCACTTCATGTGGAGTGCTAGCTTGAGCGCGGCGAAGATGCAGTCGGGGTTGAGGTAGCGCGGGTACGCCTTGCTTGCACACTGAATCTGCAACCACCACACATGTGGATCCATCCTCATAAGCAAGTTGTGAGTGTGTGAGGGACTGACTGACTGACCTTCTTGCGTCCTTTGAACATGGATGCCTTGAAGGCGCAGTCAGACCGGTCCCACGTCACACCTGCACACACACACACACACACACGTGTCAATCAACACATCCTCCCTGTGTGGTATGGCTTTTCTGCGCCTACCGAGTGCCTCGAGTGTAGGAACGTCTTGTATCGAGCTGGGGTCCTCGGCCACCTGCTTGGCCTGACGCACCTGCACACAACACACACACACATCAGTGACCCCGGATCACACACTCGCCCAGCAGGAGCCGTACCTTCTCAGTGATGTGGTCCTTGAGTTTGGCCAGCAGTGAGAGGGCCACCTTGCTGGCCTCCTGGATCGACAGAGTGTCCTCGTCACGCTTCCCCAACGACCCTGGCGCAGGCAGGTCTCCTGCACACACACACGGGCATGAGACACGCACAATCACGTGTGTGTGTGTGTGTGTGGTTGTGGGTGCTCGGGCGTCCGCCTCACCTGCCATGCCGCCCATCTCAGTCAACGGAGGTGCGGACGGGCCTGCAAGGCACACACAGCAGAGAGGGAGAGCATTCACACCCGCACGCACACCTGCACTGGCCACGACCCCATTGCTACACAGCAATGGCACACACACACTCCTGGCTAGGCTAGCCAAGCACTCGCACTCCGACGCAACTCACAGATTCCTCACTCCCCGTCCCTCCCTCGTGCGTGAGCGCACATCCAGGTGCACGTGTGCGTGTCGCGTGTGCAGTGTTTCCTAGCTACGTCCGTACCAGCGGCACCGGTGGGTGCAGGTGGCTCCAGACGTTGTTTGAATTTCGCCACCAAATCCAGCGTTGTCAGCTTCTGCTCGAGGGTGGCGTCCATCCAATCCCTCTCAGTGATGCCCAACTGACAAGCACAGGACGGAACAAACTTTCGCCCTCGCTCGCACGGGATCGACTTGCGCGAAACTTGCTCAAATTGGTCACCTGAGTGAGCTTGGCCTTGAGGTCCTCATCGGGCATGCCACTGGGCACGTCCATGCTGCCAGTCACGCACACGAGTGCGGTTGACCGCTGTGGCTTCCGGTTCGGTCTGTCGGCTGCAGTTGCAGGTCAAGGGGGCAAAGGGGCACCCCTTCGGTAGGGGAGGTGACGCTATGTACACGGGTGTGCTGTCTTGAATCAAATGCCGAACTTCACTGGGGCGCAGGGGTCTCCAGGCCACACGTTGTGTCGCAGACAGGCGCCCAGCGCACCACACTCCAACCGAGCGAAAACTCTCAGTCGCAACACGAGCACCGAGAGGGAAACAGGGGGATCAAAACACAGGAAAACGCAGGGCTAAGTTTTGCACTGCGAGCTGCCTCGCGATCCACTCCAAGCTCGCACTCGGGACAGGAAAGCCGCGCAGGGAAATCAGCCACACCTACTACCTGAATCCAGCTTCACAGAATACCTGTGCTGATAACTCGACAAGCCGGCCTCCGCTTCACCTCTTTGACGTACACCTACTCCTGCCTGCGTTAGCCAGTCTGGTTGGAGTGTCTACCTGCCGCCCACCCGCTCGCCACAGTGACTAGCGCGACAACGACCGAGAGGGTGGGTGTGTCGCACCTCGCTCCTCAAGACACGACAGCGTGTCTGTCTGTCTAGCCTAGCTTCGTGTGCCGACTGACAAGGCACAACGAAAGGTACGCACACCGAGGGCACACACACGGGCAGGGGGGGGACGGGAGGGCTGAAGCGGGGAGGAGGGTGTGAGTCAGGCGTGTCTCACTGTGTGTCTGACTGTCTGTGGTTGGGTTGCTTGCGTGTCTGCAGGTGTGTGCGTGTCTTGTCGTTTGTCGGTGTGTCCGTCGGTCCGTCCGTCCGGTAAGGAAGGATGTATGGCCGAGCCTATGATGGCCGAGTGTCGCGGGCCGTCAGCTCCCCCTCGCCATCTCCCCCCTGCAACTACATGGACGCCACCCCGCCAGCCGTCCTCATGCGCAAGGCCGCACACAACGGCTCAGGAGGCTGCCTGCCCTCGCCCGTGGCACCCATCTCGCCTACTGTGCTGCTCTACACCAACTCACGCGCAGGAGGGAGGAAGGACAATGCCGTGAGGGACCCTGGGCAGCAGCTGCAGCAGGGCGGTGTGGCGACTGCTGGTGCTGGTGTTGGTGGCGTCTACTTGCCTGCGTGTGAAGGGGGATGTGGCGGCATGTTGCAGCCGAGGAGGGCCGACAGTCGGGCAAGTGGAGGTACGCTTGTGCGCAACGCATCAGCACAACCAAATCCTGCATCTCCTGGTTCGTGTGTTGTGTGTGTTGTTGTTGATCAGAGTGGGATTTGTTGCGTTCGACTCGCGCCGATTCGGACTGCTCGACATCGACCGGCGGCGGGTATCCCCCCAACCCGTCCCCACCCCACATGCTGCCATTCGCCTGCCCGCCCCCTGCCGCCATCCCCTCCCAGCCCTGCATGCCCCTGCGTGAGTCGAGCGAGCCCTTCCCGTCGTCTTTTTCGCAATACCCGGCAAGTGGTGATGCAGTGTCCGTGTCGATCATGTCGCCGCCCGGCCTGCCGCCATCCGTCATGGACAACACTGGCTTGTATGGTGGCGGATTGGAGCTGGGCATGGGCATGGGCATGGGTATGGGCGTGGGTATGGCGGGCATCGACATGGAAGTGGGTGTCGGCGTGAGGGGAGCGAGTGTGCCCTCGCTGCCGCTCATTAGGGAGATGCACGACCAGGTACGCGCAACTCTCTGCGAGGCCTACAATGACGGAAATGCAGGCTAGGCTGTCCTGATTTCATCCTTGTGTGTGTGTGTAGGATGATGTGACGAGTCCGGTGTTTTCGTCTTCTAAGTGTCACCCCCTGCACCTCTACCCCGCCTACGCCGACGCGACGTCTCCCCACCTGATAGCGCTCAACCCCTCAGTGCACGGCTGCCAGTCGCCCGTCTGCCGCCCACGGCCCGCCGACATCGTCAAGGAGATGTTCGAACGCAAACAGATGAGCAAACCCGGAGGCATATCGGAGGCTGACTACGGCATCCTCTACAGACTCAGGCAGTACCAGGTGCGCCTCGTCGGGTGTCCCCCACACACACCTGTCCGGCAGGGCTGTGTGTGTACGCTCCTGTCTGCCTCTGTGTGTGTGACATGCAGTTGTCCCCCTCCGAGGCCATCCGTCGTCTGTTCGGCCCGCACATCCCCATCATCCCGGCGAGCGAGCTGCCCATATCGCAGGACCACCGGCGGGAGGCGGGCGGGCAGGGCGTCGTCTTCTGCGTGGAGCAGCACGGCCAGAGCCCCCATGGCAGCCGTGTGGCGGTCAAGTGCTACAACGTGCTGCACATGATGGAGGAGGAAGACACCCTGCTGGCCGCCCTCCGGCGGGAGGTGCGCTTCCTGCACCACCTCACACACACCGAGAGGGGCAGGGGGTGCGCCAACGTCGTCCGGCTGCTGGGCGTCACGGCGGCTCCGAGCGCCGCGCCCTTCGAACGGGACAACACATATATCGGTACGCACAATCAGCCCAGCCAGATAGATAGGAAGGAGTGCACACAACACAATACACGGTGGGTATTCGCTGTGTCGCTGTGCAGGAGTGGTGCTGGAGTGGTGTGAGGGCGGGAGTCTGTTTGACTTCCTGCACAACCCCCGCGCCCCAGTGCCCGACGCCTCCCCTGCAGCCGCCCACCCCCGGTCGCCAGCGGTCACCTACTCGCTCGTCCACGGCGTGGCCAACGCATGCGCCTTCCTGCACGGCAGGAGGGTCGCGCACAGGGACCTCAAGTCGTGCAACGTGCTGCTCATGCACCAGTTCGGCAGCAAGGGGGCCAAGGAGCCGGCTACTCCTGTGGTACGACTCGGCACCAGACGATGCGGAGTGCGTGGATACGTCATGTGTGCTGTGCTGTGCTGTGGTGTGGTGTGGTGTGGCGCGTGATTGTTCAGGTTGTTGACTTCGGTTTGGCCGATTCGATCCCCCTCCTGCCCACAACCAGCATGACGCCCGTCAGATCAACGCCCGCATGGGTATGCAGCAGCCAGCGAGCGCCCCGGTTCCATCGTCCACTCATCTCTCTCTCTCTGTTTGTGTTGTGTGTGCAGGAGGACCCGGCCATGTCGACAGGGACGTGCGACGCCCTGTGCGACCAGTATGCGTTCGGCAAGATCGTCCACGAGGTCATCTACCGGCACATACCACACACGCACAAGGACCCCGCACTGCCACCCTCCAAACTAGCCGGTGAGTTCAAGAGCCATCCATCAACGGCCATCGACAGACACCCTTTCGTATGTGTGTGTGTGTGTGTGTGTGTTGGTCAGGTGACATCGTGTATGGGAGCGACGCGTCGCTGCGTGCTGCCGTCGGTCTGGGCGAGACAAACGACACATTTGGATACAACCGCTCATACGAGAATATCATCTGGCGGTAAGGAGAACCAACCACACACATACAGAGGGGTGTGGGAACCTATGGTTTGTGCGCCTTTGGTGTCTCAGGTTGTTGATAGAGGACTGTCGCGCGACGGGTGATGATCGCTATGGGCGTCTGAGGTTTGAGCAGATCATCGCACTCATCCGATACGCATTCCACACACACCACCTCTCGCGAACGGACGAATGGATCGTCGACGACAGGTGCACACAATAGACCCATTTAAACACCTTACACGAAGGCCCGCCTGGATACTTCTTCTTCGTTGGCTGTGTCTGCTGTGCTGTTTTCATCGCTTAGTCGGCTGTGTGGTGGTTCTGGCGTTGCCACGGTGTCGTTGGTTGGCAGCCATGAGTGTCCGGGCCGCATCCGATGTGCGCCAGAAGGGCGCCTGTGGGTGCAGATGAACAAGGCCTTCAAGGACAACCACCACACGCACCACACACACGACTGACTGACTGAATGACTCACTGACTGAATGACTGAATGACCTGAGTGAGAGTGGGCTGGGTGACGGATATGAAGGTCGGTCCTTGTGTGCGCGTGTGTGCGTGTGTGCTGGCTTTGAAAGGGGAGTTGTGCTGGCTGCCTGCTTGCCTGCCTGCATACGAAGATACACACACGTAAGTTCATGTATGTGTGTCTTACTGCTGTCATGTGTGTGGTGTGGGGAGAGGTGAGGGGGGCGGGGTGAGGTGGGGTGCGGTGGGGTGGTCGCCCCGACTGTTTTTCGATTTCTCGCTCTCTCACTATTCGTGTGTTGTGTTGTGGTGTGCAGTGGGAGGAAGGATTGATGACTGGATTGGACAGAGGTGAGGGGG